CCCTGGTGCTATGAGGCAGCTGTTCTAACCACTGAGCCACCATGAGACAGAGAGAGAGAGACAGAGAGCGAGAGAGAGAGTGAACAAGAGAGAGAGAGAGCGAGAGAGAGCCAGAGACAGCGAGAACGAGAGGGAGAGACCCAGAGAGAGCACGAGAGCGAGAACGAGAGAGAGAGACCCAGAGACAGCACGAGAGCGAGAGAGAGAACGAGAGACGCCTTCTGTGCTATAAGTCTCCACTATCGACTTGCACAGATGTGCAGGGTTAGATACAGAGTAAAGCTCCCTCTACACTGTCCCCCATCAAACACTCCCAGGACAGGGACAGCATGGGGTTAGATACAGAGTAAAGCTCCCTCTACACTGTGCCCCCATCAAACACTGCCAGGACAGGAAGAGCATGGGCGGCCATTCACTGTGATATCTCTCTGGTTTGATGATCTCACCGAGGGCTCCCTGACAAACATCAGTTCGAGATGCTCCAGCCAGAATGAACTGTGGGTCAGCTGCAATTTCCTGCCGAGAGAAAGAGAGAATTTTTAATATCAGTGACTCAGGAAAGATCTGACATTTCCATCATGTCATTCACACAAACAAGCTGTAGGCCATTCTGTCCCTCAATTGTGGCCCACCTTTCTGTAGCATCATGGCTGATTTTATCCACCTCCCCATCCTGGATATCCATTCACCCTGTCCTTTAACAGGAGTCTGTTTCCCTGTGCCTTTTTTAAATGGAGTAAAGCTTTGCCTATAATGTACCCAGAGGCAGGAACTTTAAGTTTACAACAGTTGTTTCTGCCCTATATTTCTCCCTCACAAACTGACTACTAAATGTTTGTGTGACAGTAGTGCAGTTGATGCAGTTTATATGGATTTCAGCAAGGCCTTTAACAAGGTCCCACAGGGGAAACTGATAAGGAAGGTAAAAGCTCATGGGATCAAGGGTAACTTGGAAAGTTGGATCCAGAATGGTCTCAGTGAGACAGAGGGTGGTATTTATGTGACCAGAGCCCGGTGTGCAGTGGTGTACCTCAGGGTTCAGCGGGTTCTTTGTCCCACTGTACAGCTACTATTAGGGGCCTATAGACTACTCCTACCTTTTTATTTCTTACCTCCACCCATATGCATTCTACATCTTCTGATTAAAGATTATTTCTTGTGATCGTACTTATTCCATTCTGTACCAACAGTGCTACCCCACCTCCCTTCCCTTCCTGTCTCTCGTTTTGAAAAGTCACATGCTGTTGAATATTTAATTCCCAGCTTTGATCTCCTTGTTGGGCAAGATTTGTGTTAGACATGGGATCCAGGGTCAGCAGTAGATGGGAATGTGGAATTCCAAACACACAAGCAGATCAGCTCTGATCCTGCTGAATGGCAGAAGAGGCATGAGGGAGTGAATTGTTCATGTAGATGTTACACTGGTTTGTTAGAAAAACAATCTGAACAGTTCAAAACTCAAGACAGGGGCAACACTGGAGGGTCAGAGGCTGAGGGGGTGACCTTACAGAGGTTTGTAAAGTCATGATGGGTATGGATAAGGTGAACAGCCAAGGTCTTTTCCCCCAGGGGTAGGGGAGTCCAAAACTGGAGGGGCATAGGTTTAAGGTGAGAGGGGAAAGATGAGGGGCAACTTTTTCACACAGAGGGCTGTGTGTGTATGGAATGAGCTGCCAGAGGAAGTGGTGGAGGCTGGTACAATTACAACATTTAAAAAGCATCTGGATGGGTACATGGATAGGAAGGGTTTAGAGGGATATGGGCCAAAT